TCCACAGACATAATTGTTGACTTATTAAAAGATCAACATGTTACACATTTGTTTCAAATATTATTTTTCATCATAAATTTGATTGAAATACTAAAAAAAAATTTATAATTCAAAATAATCTACGTGCAACGCACGTGTGTACCAACTAACAAGTAAAAGTAAAAAAAAAATAGCTTATACTTTTTTAAAATCACTTCTTTACAAAACAATTCACCACTGTCGTCTGTGTCATCGTCACTGCCACTACCACCACCACCACCGCCATGGCCATTGCCACTGACCCTTACCATCGTCATCGTCGCCACTCCATCACCACCATCATCATTTTCATTTTTATATTCATTACGACTATCATCATCATCCCAAAATCACCGTTGCTCACTACTACACATTAGCACAACCCACCACCATCCGGCGTCACCCACCACCGTCGTCACCCACTATCACCCACCCCATCACACCTATCACCACCACCTGTCATCCTCACTCACCTCCGCCACCTAGTATCACCCACTTCCACCACACCTATCACTGTTATTCGCTACCATCCACCACCACCACCATTGCCTATAAGCACCCATTGTCGTCCACCACAGCCATCTTTACTGCCCACCACAACCAACGCCGTCACCAATGCTTGTCACTATCACCATCGTCTTCCAAAACCTACCACCACCATTTTCGTTGCCACCCACGACTGCAACCACCACCACGGTTGTCGCCGTCCACCACAACTATTATCGTCTCCTACCATAACCGCCGCTACCCACCGCCGCTCACCTCCATTATAATCAGTGCTTAAATTCTCTCTTTTCTCTTTTGTTTGTGATTTGGTTTTTGGTGTGAATATAAATATGTTTATGATTAACAATTTTTTAGGGAGAATTACATCGAGACTTCTTGAGATTTATCACTTAATCACTCAGATCCTCTAATATTTAAAATATTACACATAGACCCCTAACGTTTGCACGCGTATAGTACTTAGATCTCTGCCGTCAAAGTCTGCTAGTATATCTGTTAGTAAATTACACTTAGATCTTCTAAAGTTTGTAGGCATGTAATACTTAGACCCCTCAAATTTAAAATATTATACTAAGACTAAAAATACTCTAATTAAATATAGAATATCAAATATTTTAAATTTTATAACAAAAATTCATGTTCTATTTATGACATTTATTGAAATAAAATTAAAAATAAAAAATTAATTTTTTCTTCAAAAATCATATTTAGTATACAATTATACTATCTATTGGAATTTAATTTAATCATTTAAATGACCAAACTAAACTACCAAATTACCCTAATTAAAGTTAGAAAATATTGTCCATTATAGTTTGACCCCTTGCTTGATTTTTTAGTTTTGTTTCAATAGATAGTATAATTGCATACTAATTATGATTTTTAAGAAAAAATTAGATTTTTATTTTCGATTTTATTTCAATAAATGACATAATAGGACATGAATTTTAGTTGTAAAATTTATATTATATTATGAATGACTTAGATCTCTTGTTTGATTTTTTAGTTTTATTTTAATAGATAGTATAATTATATACATATTATGATTTTTTAAGAAAAAAATTAAATTTTTATTTTTGATTTTATTTCAATAAATGATACAATAAAATATGAATTTTAGTTATAAAATTTAAAATATTTGATATTATATTTTTTGTCAAAGTATAACATTTTAAGTTTTAGGGATCTAAATATTATACATTTATAAACTTTAGAGGGTCTTGGTGTACTTTACTAACGGATATAATAATCGACATTGATGACAGGGGTCTAAGTGTTACGTGCATACAAATTTTAGGGAGGTTGTGTGTAATATTTAAAATATCAGGAGGTCTGAGTGATTAAGTGACAAATTTTAAGGGATCTTAACATAATTCTCTCTTTTTTTTTATTAAACACAAAATGACATAATCCGCGGACACAAGCTGCTACTCTTTTGTTAGCGGTAAAACATTTTCTTCCGCCTCACATCAGATAACAGCTCCGGAGAACTGCTGGTAACAATTTTCAGGAAACAACGTAACCCTACGGACTATGGTTCCTATCCAGACATGTGAGCATAAAAAAAGGGACGGTTCCAAGTTCCAACCTCGAATTAGTGTGCCATTATCACTGTCAAAATGCCCTTAAACACCGAAGTAGCAAATTAAAATTATTCATCAAAGTGGTCATCAACAACTACTGTCTCTGGTACAAATGATTGATATTATTGAACAGGTGAGGTTGCGATAGATTTCTTAGACTTAGAAGTCATCGCGCATCCAGATTGAACGGGAAAAGGACAAAGTGATCTCATTGTTTTACTATGACCAGGTTGTTTTTCAGCTTAATTACATCATTTGGGTTTTCAAAGTAGCTTTTCTTCCTCAACAATGTTATCAAGATTTCTTATCAATATTTTTATCCTAAACGATGTGACACAATTTTTACTATCAAATAAAAAAGTTCCGTTAATATTTAATGATGGAAATTGTGTCACATCACTAAGTAGATTGAAGAACTTTGTAAAAAACTTGATAAGTTTAACATTACTTTTTCTTTATTATAGAAGATATTAAAAATTTTCATAATTTATTTCAAAAAAATCAAATTTAAATTCTGTCAATTTTTCTAAACTCGAGATGACATGCTTTTCAAAATAGTTTTTTTTTGGGTAAATTGCTTTTCATGGTAGTTTAGTTCTCAATTTTCTATTCTTAGTAACATTTGTATACTTGGGCTTTACTTCTGTCATTGGATCGTCTAGAATTTTAGATATTCTTACAAATCATACCTATGTATGAACCTCACACCCTTAATGATAGGTGACGTGCCCATATCTGGCTGGATCCAAGCCCAATTAGTAGGTAAGCACAAATTAACTAAAAGACGGGTCAAGCCTAACACATGGCCCCAACCCAGTTCAGAGTTTGAGACACCCAGGAAAATCATCTCACATGAAGAGCAATAATCGGAATAACTATTATTCGAAGAGAGCGCCTATTCTTAATAGTAGCTATCTTCTCTGAAAGAGTAAAATATCTTTCATTTTACCGTTTCAACTAAGATTCTGTAACTATAAATTGTAAACCCTCTACACATGAGAGACACACGTCTCTCACACGCTATCTCTCTCAGAGCTATCTCTTGTAAACCATCAATAAAGTTCTCTGACTTCCGTCGCCGACTGTTTGATTGTGTATTGCCTAATTTGTGAATCATCAATAGTCTTTTCTTATTTTTCCATTGTTACAAATTATTCTATACAAAAAACATATATATTTTTTTGTTTCTGTTTCTAATGATTCAGTTGATATTGAGTTTATTTGTAAAGAGACTACAAAATGAATAGTGGCAACTGTTCGCTTATGTTAACTAGGAGCGAAAATTACTGGTTTTTAGCCAAATCGAAATCCACATTAATACACTTTTCTCTTTCAATTTTCTAATGCGTTGGAATCCATAAAATAGGACCATGGGGTGCAGTGCCAATACGAATTGTGCTTGGTAATAAAAACTTACCTTCGCTTTTAATACAAAAAGTCGTTTTCCTTTTTTGTCATTTTTACACTTAAAAAATACAATACGTTAATACGACACGAATTGAATACGAAATTAATGGATTGAATAGAAAATTAAACGAATCAATGAGTTAAAACATGTCAACAAGTTTAAACACAAAAAATCATGTCGGGTTCATATCAAAATCAGGTTAACTGACCTGATTAACCCGTATATTTTAAACGGGTTGACATAATTCGGACACGAAGCCGACCTTACTCTTTGTAGACCCATTTATAGCAGTATAGTTTGTCTAGTATGTATGACTGATGTACATTATTACTTATTAATTCTTACTTCTACTATGATAATTGACAATATAGTTCTTAACATTATATGACAGTATACTAGTATAATTCTTGCTTTAATTTTTAGGTTGGAACTTGAATTTATTTTAGTTAATTACATTGATGAGATGTGATACGTTATTTGTCAAAAAATTATTTAAAATTTTGGATGAATGATTGAATGATGTATTTAATGATAATGAACAGACATAAAAACATGTTATGTGTGTCAAATAGGTCTGGATTATATGTGTATGAACCCGAAAATGACTTGTTTATTAAACATGTTAAACAGGTCGGGTTTGAGTAACCCGTTTAATGGTCATGTCAGGTTAGTATTTACACATCTCAACACGATTATTAAACAGATCAGGTTTGAATTTTAAAATTTTTAACACAAACTCAAAATTAATCTGACACAAAATGACTTAACTCGATACGTTTGAGACCCTTATCCTAAAATATCACACAATTAATGTTCATGCCCACTACTTGCTTTGTTCCACAGCCACATGACATAGGAAAATTTTGAACCACACAGATACCTTTCAGTCTCACGTTGGCATCATAGTCCCGTGAGGGCAATTGTAGACAGGGCCCACTCAATAGAATTTGGGCCCTTTAAGCAAGACCTTTTACAAATTTATTATAAATATATGTGTTTTTTTATTTTTATAATTATACTATTTTTTCAATGAAGAAAAGAGAGTTTATCCAACTTTATGGCTATTCTATTTTTCAATGCATTTTGAACTTAAAATCAAGAGAGATCTAGATATAATTTGTTTATATAAATGTATTTGTGTATGTTTTAATTATAGAGAGTGATTAGCTATACAATAAATAAACAGTGAGTGTGTGATTTTTTAAGTGAGTGATGTCAAATGTGACTATTAAGTTAGTGGAAGAACATAAAATTTTAAAGAAAAAGAGAGAGAATAAAATGCATTGTTGAATCCATATTCAAAACTTAAGGGTTAGATTTGAAAGTGTTAGCATAAGTGTAATCCAACTCCTCCCACAGGCCTTTTGGCTATAGAAGTTCTAACCCAATTGGGAAGTAGTTATAAACCTTTTTCCGATTGCGATTAGATTTTGAATCCCATGCTAATCTTAGGTTGGAGATTGATGGAGATAGCCGTCACCATCGTGAAAGCTTCAATATAGCTCAATTTCCGACTTGGTCTTCCATTAAATTTCGTTTCACTAGGGTTAATTGAAAACCCAACTTTCTAAATGAGAGATTTAGTGCAAAAATACCATCATAAATTCATAATTCAACAACTTATATATCTTAAATCTGTTCTTAATGTTAATTTGAAACAACATACAAGCATGCCCACAAAGACACAAACTCTAATTACACCGACAATTCAAGCTTAAATCCGAGAGACGCAAATCACACCTCCATATCAGCAGCTCATCGGAGGCAGATCTGAGGTCTTCCGAAACGTCGACGATGACTTCTTATTGAAAACCCTGCTCCCAAAAACCAAGAACCCTAAAGTGTGCCCAGCAACAGCTGCCAGAAACACACCGGCATTGAAAGACATGACCGCCAACATCACCATGTAAGCCAACCCAATCCTTAAACCGTACATTAGGGTTTGAACCAGACCAGCCGCCACATGATTCGAGCCTTCTTTGATGAGTTTGCAGTGAGAGAGCCATTCGACGATTAGGGCGAGAACGAAGATGAAAACGAGGGCCAGAACGTACATGCCCAGGTTGTCTGAACCAGGCCAGCCGGAGAAAAGAATCTCGGCGTTCTTGCCCCAGAAGAATGTCATATGCATCATCATGTGACGGCGGTGCATCATCATCCCTCCTCCTGAGCCGTTGTTCATCATCGGAGAAGATGGTGGGGACATGCCTCCCATGCCTGGCATCTGACCTCCGCCGTTCATTCTCTCTCTCTCTCTCTCTCTAGAACTGTATGTCTTGTACTTGTAGCTGTGGAGGAGTACGAGGATAAGTTGTTACGAGGTTTAAAGAGCATGATCGTACAGTCCAGTAATTTTTGTTTGTANCTCTAGAACTGTATGTCTTGTACTTGTAGCTGTGGAGGAGTACGAGGGTAAGTTGTTACGAGGTTTAAAGAGCATGATCGTACAGTCCAGTAATTTTTGTTTGTAGTACACGAATTTAGATCCTCCCTATTAGTTATTTTTTTTAATATAGTTTTAGATAAATAATATGTATAAAATATTAAATTTTAATAGATTATATATTTTCTTATTCATTTTGTTGTTAATGGAGTGTTAACCATTATTAAAAAATTTTATCATAAAAAAAAAATTTTTATTCATTAAAATTATGAATGCTATATATATCACTCGTTTAGAATGTATTAAAGAAAATTAAACGAAATGGTTAAAGGAGGCATCCAAAATAACTCTTTAGATTTCTATTCAGTAAACCGAGGATACAGCTGGCTAATGCCTTTGAGAATTAGTCGTTTATCATAAGTAAGATGTCACGTAGTTAAATGAAACTCAAAAATTAAAATTTAAATAAATATCATCTCTTAAATTAATGTAAAATAAATGAATCTCATTAAAAAAATTGATGAAACATACTCATCTAAAAAATAAAAAAAATGTTATTTAGACGTAATTTGAGAATCTAATTTGAAAATCTAATGATGTATAACTATTGAATTAGTTGTGGGTTTTATCTAACATTGAAAATTACAACTAATCTAATAATTATATTAAAGTCACATCATTAGGTCCTTAAATTAGATTCTTAAATAAAGTTCCTATAACATTGCTTACAAAATAATATGTATTTAAGTTATAATTTTTTAAATTTTTATTTGAATTTTGTAATATTACATAAATCGATTGGATGAATTGTAGTTAAACATGGGGATGTGTGATCCTATCTTGTACTGCAGCACAAATGTCACACTCATATTTACACATGGGTTAAATCGAATTGAAATCAACCTCATTACACTTTTTGTTATTTATTGTATATGAATGAGAGATCTATTAATAAATAGTGAATTTATTGTGTAAAATGATAGATGATTTATTATTAAATAAAATTAAGTAAAAGAGTGAGGAAGAGAATCTAAATTTGATTAAGTCAAAGTTATATGCATTAGTAAATGGTGAGTTTAATGTGTCGATTAAGTCAACTTTATACGCAGCTACAAAATCAAATTTGAAAAATGAGAGTTAATGTCTTGCTATTTATTCAATTACTAAATCAACTCGAATAGGATTCAAGGAAAATGATATATTTATAAAATGAATGTGCATAGATGAATAAATTGTTTCGGTAAAAAAAAAATAATTAGTGAATTTTATTGATCCAACCAATCACATTAATTTAACGAGGTTTTTTATTGAACATGCATATCACAATTCTGTTCACAGCCCCCTTATTCATCATCTGTTCAACAACTTTCTTGAATACACATTTCATATCATAACAGTTTGAAGAATTTCCATTCTTCTGCATAAAATCAACAACTTTATTTGTGGGAATTTTACCTACAGCTTTATTTCTTGAATATATACGCCATTGACTTATTTGCAAGAACTCACGATGACATGTGCGTTAGGCACGGTATTTCTAAAAGGAAAGATTGAAACTAAGGCCAGCTTTTTCTTGGATGGAATTTATTCGTACCATAATCGAATTTGAGACTATATCATGTCCGGCATACCCGTAGGCCATAGGATTTCGGGACAGCCATTCAAAAGCTGACAACTCAATAGGAAATTGGTCACATTAAAAGAATCTATTACCGATGTACAACAAATTTATAACTTAAATACCAATCTATCGTCCTTTTTAACATATTTATCAAACTATGACTGTTTTAAAATCGGAATTAATAATTACAATTTCTTTTAAAAGCGAAAATATCAAGTCCGACTTTATACTGTAAAGCGGAATTACCAAATCCGTTTTTTGTTGGGAAGCAACTAGGGTAGTTTTAAAAGTGGAATTACCAATTTTGACTTTATCCTGTAAAACGTATTTATCAAACCCGATTTTAAGGACAGACTGTGTTTATGTTTAAAATGAAAACGTATTTATCAAACCCGATTTTAAGGACAGCCTTTTTCAAAACGCTTTATAAAGAAATCGTGTTTAACACATCCGCTTTCAGTGATATTGTTCTATTTTTACCCTTCTCAGCCCATAATGTTAACATGAAAAAATTACTAACTACCCCTCGTTATCACACTTTTTGAACGTATTGAAAAAATATTTTTATCATATTGGAAAAAGAAATTATCGTATTTTTGGGACTATTTATTCATAGTCCCACAAATAAAAATTTCATTCCCACCCTTATTAAATAATAAATAATAAAACTCTTAAGTACACCCTTTTTAATTTCAAAAAATACTATCCATCGTACCCCTCTTCACCCCACACAAACAAAACCTTAAATCCTAAACATTTATAAACCCTACCCACTGAAACTATTATTATCAAAAAAGAGAATAGCAATTGTCCCCCCCCCCCCCCCCCCCCCCCCCCCCCCCCCCCCCCCCCCCCCCCCCCCCCCCCCCCCCCCCCCCCCCCCCCCCCCCCCCCCCCCCCCCCCCCCCCCCCCCCCCCCCCCCCCCCCCCCCCCCCCCCCCCCCCCCCCCCCCCCCCCCCCCCCCCCCCCCCCCCCCCCCCCCCCCCCCCCCCCCCCCCCCCCCCCCCCCCCCCCCCCCCCCCCCCCCCCCCCCCCCCCCCCCCCCCCCCCCCCCCCCCCCCCCCCCCCCCCCCCCCCCCCCCCCCCCCCCCCCCCCCCCCCCCCCCCCCCCCCCCCCCCCCCCCCCCCCCCCCCCCCCCCCCCCCCCCCCCCCCCCCCCCCCCCCCCCCCCCCCCCCCCCCCCCCCCCCCCCCCCCCCCCCCCCCCCCCCCCCCCCCCCCCCCCCCCCCCCCCCCCCCCCCCCCCCCCCCCCCCCCCCCCCCCCCCCCCCCCCCCCCCCCCCCCCCCCCCCCCCCCCCCCCCCCNCCCCCCCCCCCCCCCCCAATCTCAACCAACAAACCCTAAACTAGGGGGAAAGAGGTTTTATAACTTCCCTCTGTTATCACACTTTTTGAAATTACGGTATTTTTGGGACTATTTGTACTTAGTCCCACAAATGAAAATTTCATTCTTACCCCCTATTAAACAATAAATAATAAAACTATTAAGTTCATCCTTTTTAATTTTCAAAAGTACTACCATCATACTCCTCCCCACCCCACACAAACAAAACCTTAAATCCTAAACATTTTAAAATCCTACCTACTAAAACTATTATTATCCAAAAAAAGAATAGCAATTGTCCCCCCCAATTCCATATCATGTTACTCTAGTGAGATCTGTGTAATTACTGGGTTCTGGTGAACTGAATGAAGAAAACGTTTTATGATGGCAGTGGTTGGTTGAGAATGAGTCATCGTTAGGTTGGCTTGAAGACCCATTTGGTGATGTTGTTGACATTATAGTGTACGTATGGTTTACACTGCAGATAAGTAGCTGTGTTTTAATAGGAACATAAATTATTTTAATATTACATTCATTGAACTGAGTAATAAAATATTGCAGGGAGGATACAACTATGAGTGATCAATGATAGCGACTAGACACTACTAAACTTTTGTGATAAAACAAACGTTGATGACATAACACTGACAAATTTGTATAAACAGTCTTATGTTAAATCACCACTGACGACTTAACACTGGTAGTGATGTGCTAAGTGTAGTGATGGGATAAATCAGAAGTGCTGCATGAGTTGTCAAATCAACAAATTTTAAAAAAATTTAGCCACAACTGGCTAAAGAGTTACCACGACTACTATCAAGATATCACTATAAATTGATTGTGTGTGTTGCTCTCTTACCATACTTATCCACTTGAAACATGATTTACAGTTCACGCTCAGTGTTTAAAGCTATGAGCTATCATTGGGCGTTAGAGGATGAATTCTTCTATCCTCTAAATTCTCGTTTATGTTTCTCACAGATGTCAGTGAAAAGAATGAGGGAGGAATGATAATATCGTTTGAATGAGAGAGAAGTTCTAAATGAAGATTTACGCATTTGTAACATATGGAGGCGGTGACAAGTTGCCATTAATATGCCTATTCAAACACCACGAGAGTTGGAAGGTGCATTGTGGCATATTCGTGTTGAAAATAATTGTATGACAATACGGCAAACTCGGTACAACCTCCACCAAATTGCAGGTGAACGTGCTGTAGAAGGTTTGGTTGAAGAATCACGTTTGTGTCAATAGTTGTCTACAGAAGGAGGAAATGTTTCTGACGTTGAAATATCGGACGAAGAAACTTTCCCATGATAAAGATTTCTTGATCAATAAGGCGTATTTACGCATATGTTGGTTTATCCTTCAGGGGTTGTAATGGGAATCTATGTCGTTTTTTTTTATAATCATGCTTATATGCCATGTACTACTATGTTGTTGTAGTTTATCTGTATTGTCATTATGCAGTGCTCAAAAATAATATACCATTTATTGTCTTATTTTATCTTAACCATTGAAGTGGAGAATAACGCTAAACATAATAATGCATATAATATATAGAAACAAAATGAATTTTAAACATAATGAATTTTAAAAAATTTCGGCGGAATTTCCCTTAAAACTTTGTCATACCAAAAATAATTTTGTCTTGTATGCACAATATCAAAACAACAACAATCACAACAACATCACCATAACACCAACACCCAACCATAACTACCACCACAAACACCCCAACCATAACATCACAACCAACAACAATACATAGAAACAACTCTATAATATACATGTGAAAATAAATGTTAAAAAATGATAAAACAGTACAACAATAAGTGCTACAAGACGGCTTCTTCCTGAGCCGTTTGAGACGCCTAGCCTCTAACTATGGTAGCTCGTCATCGATCACCTATGAATCTGAATCTCTAGCTGGAATAATATCTCTGCCTCTGCCTATGCCTTTACCACCCCGTCCTCTATCACTGTGGCCTTTCACACCTCCCAATCTGCCACTTCGACCTTGACCTCGACCTCGACCTCTATCTTGAACTAATGAAATTAGATGGGCAAGTGGAGTCGTAGCACGTTGTTGTGACCTATGTACAATTGCAGGAGTCGATGCAAGTCCTATACCATGACCCTATGTGACCTCATCTACTGCCTGTGAAATCTGAACATCTATCGGAGGTGACAAAATCAATGCATTGTGATAGATAGGGTGGCTAGGCAATGTGACTCCTGAACAATTTGATGTGTATGTGTTTGGTCCTACCATGGGAGAAACATGCCCTGCGGGGTACTGAGATGGTATGGAGGTCTCGGTCAATGGTGGTGAAGGGGGTGTAGTATGTGGATGCTAAGGTCCACTAGGTTTTGCTGATGTATGGTGGGGACTCGAAGTGGACGGTGTCTCTACACAAAAAACAACCAACGGTGTCTGTGGATCCTGAGGTACACTAGGTCTTGTTGTAGGCTCTGCTACACTCAACTCTGGTACTGTGTTGACATCGACATCCACTCAAATATCAGGTTGGTGACGTGGAGGTCTCTACCGTCGTATAACAATACCATGAGGCAGCGTAGGTACATCGGGCGGAGCACACGGTGCAGTATATGGTGTATGTGGAGGCTCGGTGTGGACGGTACGATGGATACGATGGTCTTCTCGAATCATCTCAAGGCAAGTAGAGCTAAGAGATCAGGCAGCCTACAGTGCCTGTGTATGTGTTATGTCCATACCATTCTCAAGGGCATCTTGTGCGATCTGGTAAATCTGAATAAGTGTATACTCCTATAAATATAAAAAGCACATACATTACGATAACATAAATCATGATTATAATTATAAATGCACTTAGGTATTACTTACCAATATGTCGACTATGCTACTCATAGACTGGAATTCGATATGTGAAGTATGTACTAGAGGTCCGATCAATCGTCGAGTGGTATGGCCATATCAAACTATGTACGCACTATAACTCATATCGATCACAGATATATGTGCCTCCCCCGCGATAACATGCTCCCATCGGTAGGTCCAAACATCTACAGAAAGATTGATGTACAATACTCTAGTCATAACCACCTCTGTCGCGTCGATTAGTAGCATGAAGAGCAGTCCTAGTGTTGCATGCTTGAGGAATACCCTGTCTAAAACCAAATTGGCGCATGACACAATCAGGAAAATGTCACTCAACTAATGCAAAGCAAATCAGTGGTGCACGCACCATCCATAAGTTGCTCCCACTAGTGCAATATGTCGGTAAGTCTGCTATGACCTCTGCAATATATGACATCCACACCATCTACACCAAAATAAATACTCAATTTACACATAAGTCTAAAATTTTTTGACATTATAATATAGTCTACGTTAGTGAACAATTGGACCTGCTTATCACGCATCTAGTCTAGTTGATCTCTATAATGTCTGAGAATATGTCTGGGGCTGTGTATATACTATGTCATACGCACATTCCACCTACAATATAAAGAATAAATCATTTCCTTCATTGGTGAAAAAAATACATTGCTACGCTTAACTATTACTTCATTTTTACACTATTACAGCCCAACAGACCCTTAGGTAATGGATCATGAAGGTCAGACATCTCCTCCATAGCAGTGGGTACCTCTGCAACAATCCTAGCATCAAGCCTCTCCGGCATGTGAAACACATCGGGTATATCTGTGGCTGCTACTTGATGAGGTAGTACTCTCTCAGCACGAAAATGTGTAAGCCGTTGCTATGCCCACAACTATTTGGTAATTTAATATTTCTTAACATTAAGGCTACCTTCTATGTAACGTAACTTATAATTACATGTAAATGCATGAATACATGTAATATAACTAGCAGTCCTCTAATATCAGATGCTTCTGGGGCAGTGGCTCGACACATCTCACTATACAAGCACGCTAGAGTTGCATTACCCCTACTCAATCTCCCAGAACTATCTAGGTCCTCAAGATGCTGTAAGTACATAAACCCAACATTGTTATGCAACTTGTTTGAAACAATATAAGCCCCGATGAGAGGCAAAATGTAAGCACATCAACATCATCTCGAAGAGGCTCAGCAAATATAGCAACCAAAGTGGTCACCTTAAGTCGCGATCCAAATAAAGCAGTCTCCAGAGGTCTAATACCAAGATGGTGGTCATAGTAATCCTGCCACTCCAGCATTGTATGATGTGTGTCAACCCCAGTAACTGCATCACCATCAATGGGGAGTTCGGAAAGAAGTGACATATCCTGCAATGTAACCGTCGCCTCGCCAATGAGCAAATGGAATGTATGTGTCTCTACCCTTCATCACTCCACAAGCACAGTGACTAAATGGTGGTCTAGCTTAATAAACCCAATACTATATATCCCATAAAAACCGACAGTTAATACACGCCGCAATACCTTATGATTGGGATGTGGCATTCAACGCATACTCGCCTCAGCCCGATTACACTTACATGGTGCTAATTCCTTTAATAATTAAATAAGTCATACATGTTAGAATATTTGTTTTAAGGTTTGATAATATATGTAATGTATTCAGTAAATTACGTGTCTGTCCATCCCATATCTGTGTGGATCTATGTCGTGCCTGCAAGTATAATACTGCTGGGTCAACAGGTCCTGGGTGTACTAAGTCACATGCCTGCTGATGCTCCATACCATAATTCCATAAAATTACATTATAGTAAGATATTGTCTCTATAACGGTTGAAAAATTTTACATACACTGATTCCATACACATAAAATTATATTTCACTACATATGGTAATATAAGCATTTGATATGTAATACATTTCAATGCAACAAAGAACCACATGTACATCTTCAAAATAAGTTTACACTTTTTTATTCTTCATTGGACATATATTCATATGAAATGTATTGTTTATTATTTAACACATTATTACGCTCTACATCTGATAAGTCTCGTCCATATGCATTTTGTACCATGTCGGTTGCAAGTTGAACCATATAATATCGCCGCCTACGAACCAACATTCGATTATTCTTATTGCGAACTTGAGTAACTGCTAATTCGTAATCTTGTCTATTCCTCATTTGTATCATTAGAGATCTTCAACATGGCACAGGTATACCAAGTACTCTTAACTTAGTGTTTAAATCATTTCATTCAGTAGAACGAAATGCACATTCTCGTCTTACTCCAGTATAATACTCTTTTGGGTCAGTAAATTTCTCTATTTTGTAATCATCGTTTTGCTCTGTCAAAATTCAAACCCTTTGCTTTCTGCGATTGTTCACAAATATTGGTCCTCGGGATGTAGACATAGTTCTGTTGAATTAAGTATTTGCAACAAGTAGAAAATTTGAATGTTCATTGAATATAACAATGAGGAATGTAATGACATATACACAAGTACTACATTTTCATCATTAAATAATGTGAACATAGTTATTTAGATGAATAGTATTTATTTATTATAGCCTTTCATTAGATTGGCATCTGCATTCACGGACACATACGCACATCTTGTGTCGTTTTTGATGGGCATGCATGTTGATCGTGCCCAGGTTGGCCACACAATCTACATTGATATGTACTACGACCTTGTCGTAGGTCCATTTCATTGCAGATGCGAGTAGATTGGGGACAACCCTTCGTCCGTAGTTGATTTGGATTAGGAAAGATTATTGGACCACTGTTCGCATCCCAATAGTCACCATGATGTAGTGGATGAAATTCACTCGATCAAACGGCATCATGGGCAACAACAATATATATTTCATCAACGTACTACCATGGGTCTAAATGCCTCTTTGAAAAAAAATGCTATTGCAAGAGAGCGTGACATTTTATAGGTGTTCCACTTTTCACATGAACATGTGCGGTCTAAAATATTTAGTACATGTGCATTCCCTTTTTTGGTGACAACATATGCCTCACTGGTGGTACGGCTGAAGGTGGTAACATTTTGATCGACTTTTTTGATTGAAACATACGTCATCTTCTCCACAGTGTGAGGTGTAAAAGCGCACCCGTTGTCTGACGCTGAACCACGCCTATTGGTGAAGTTTATTATTTGACCTAAACATCAAAGATGTTCACAGAGAACAGCTGAAGAGAACACCATTTTTGGCATTTGTTTCACACAATATCAACATCTGAAATGGATAAAGAATGGATCAAAAGGAATGACAAGAGTATTGTGGACATAATTACCACGTTTGATTTTGAAACATCAAGATTTCATATTGGTGAAAAAGGTTTAAAAATACGGAAGAATGATGTAACCCTCATGTTTAGTATAGAAGATTTTGTGGATCCAATTGTTTCCCCCGAAAGTGCAAAAACAATTTCACCATTTTTGTGAAGGGGATTCAATAACACCAAGAGCTTGAATGCACCAATAATAAAAAGTAAGCTAGAGGATGCAATAATGAGTGTTGGTAAGGATGATTGTGAAGATTTTGCTAGGTTGTTCTCTTTATATGTTTTAGTGACACTACTAATTGCAAATATGGGGCAAACGATTGGATGAGAATATGTGTCGTACTTAAAAAATTTGGATGAAATAAAAAAAATATGACTGGTCTCAAGCAAAAATTGATGTAATGATGAATTCTATAAGGTTGAAGATTGACACACCAAGTTCAGTAATCGATTGTATATTACTGTTACCTATAAGTTTTTAATTGTTAATTTTTATGAATTTTTTTTATTATTATTAAACATATCTGTTATATCTAATGTAACTAAATCTAATTTGCAGTACTAGATATGTGAACACATCTCTTATTGTGGCCGACAAGGTGGATGCTTTCCCATAGTGGATGAAATGGGATTTAAAAAAATTTTGGACGTTTCTCGCACAAACACATTGTCTGACATTGCAACTGATCAGATATTATAAAAAAAATTAGTTTATCATATTTCTATTAATTTTGACAATTGGTTGATTGCATGACAATGTTAATTTTGTGATCAATGTTACTATAAAAATTGTTGTTACTGTGGATGTTGCTATTAGAAAAATAGATGTTAGTGTAAATGTTACTTTGAAATTGATCTTACTGTGTAATTCATGGTCATTTCATTCAATTGAGGTGAACATTTATTGGGTACATTTTTCATGTTACTAATGATGTGATCAGGTTTTCCAAAGGAAACCTAAGAAAACACTTGGTGAGAAGCGCTTAGTGAAAGTAAATCGAAAAAATACCAAGAATGTGCAGAGGTAATGTGGAGGTTCCACAACAAAGCACTATTCTCAGCAAGAGTGCTTTAAATTCAAAATTGGAATATGCAGGTGATGAACCTAATGTAGATGCTGATGATCATATTGTGGTTAATAAAGATGTCAATGAAAGTGATGATGTATTACATGTTTCTATAAATGCTCATCCTGCCCAAAAGGAGAATAAAGACGTCCAATAGTTTGATGTTGTTGATGTGGTTATTCGAGAATCAATTGTTATTGAACCAAATGAAGTGGTAACACATGATGAAAAGTCGCAACAACCTTCACATGACAATGAAGGTGTGTCCGGATTGATTGATGAAAATGCGGTGCAAAAATTTCATTTTCAAATGTTGACTGTGGAGAAAGAAGTACTTCAAACGGTCATCAAGAATATTGGAGGAAACCAAAGGGAGGAAGATTTGAAAGAGATTGAAGAGTATGTGATGAAACTTGTTGACAGGGACAACCAGATTTTAGAATTAAAAGTTTTAGTTGATATTCTGGAGAAAAACAAAGAAACAAAAGAAGATCAAATTAAAACACTCAAATCAAGGGTGTCCGAATTAGAAGAAGAGAACAATCTCCTACATGATGTTGTAGCTGATATGGTTGTGCATGCAGTTACTTAAAGGTACCCACGGACTCCGCCAAAACTTCAGGCCACCGAAGGTAAAGAACAAACATCGATGGTGAGAAAAATCAAAGGGAAAGAAAGAAAATGAAATAAAGATGACGATTATGAGTATAGTAGGAAAAAAAAGGGAGAAAAGAAAATTTTGAAACAAGTTGAAAGTCAAGAACAAGTCGACAATATTAAAGGGAAAGAGAAAATACCAAATAGCTGCATTGATGTTGATGATTTGAAAATTATAATGCCAAGTGAAAAGCTAGAAAGTAAGAGAGTTGAAGCTCAAAAATGGAAAGCCTGCAAGAAATTAGGACCTGATGTGTACGACAAATTGGTTCAAATGCATAAGGCTGAAGGAAAAAAGTAAGTAACTTAATGAGAAATACCTTATATATATTACTGGTTATACTCTATTTTATTAACATGTACTGTTTTTAACTAAAATGACAACTTTATGGAGTGAAAAAAAGTATGAAAATATTATTGATGTTGAAGATGTGTTGAAATTCATGAATGGGGAAGAGCTGCACAACAATGTAATATACCATGTGTCTTGCCAATTTAAACAAATTATGGAATCCTTGAATATTTGTTATTTAACAAAATCGTGTTATTACACAGGTAATTGATTGTTGGGGAGAAATACTGATGGTGGAAACCAATTGCAATTTTTCTTTTCAATAGTTTATGTTGGGTGAGTTTTTATAACCTATGTTGTAGTCTTGTTTGTTAGAATATTGAATTAGGAACACAAATACATTAACATTCGTGTTACTATAGGAACACAAATACTGTAACATTCGTGCTATTATAGGAACACAAATACAGTAATATTTGTGTTACTACGAATGGAACTATAGTAACATTGCTATATTTATGTTACTATAGTAACATCAATGTTATTATAGAAACACATACATAATTGTAACCTATGTTTCTGTTACTGTCTAATAACAATCGTGTTACTATTCTCTATTGACATTGTTCATCCTCCAAAATTTATGCGTTACTATTGATTAACATGTAGACATATGTAACAATTGCGAAGCAAGAACACTCACGGCAGATCAAGATAGACAACAATCTGAACATGGGACAGGTTTGGTCATTACTTGTGTTCCCAATGAATTCAGATGTGCAGCGCAGCCAACCAATACCATTCTACTAGACCTTGCTTGTACTGGATGTAGAAGCAAGGGAATGGATCCACTACAACTCTTTGAAACCTCACAGTGGAATGATGGACAAGTGGTTTGACGATGCAAAAATTTTGGTATGTTAACAAAATGTGAATAACCCATATTGTTTGATATATTTTCCTTGGACAAAATTAACAACATTTTATTATGGCAGAAAGAATACGTGGAGACGGAATCTAAAGAAGGACAAAGGAAGTCATTGAAAACAAAAGATGAGATTGTTGTCAACATACAATATATCAAATGTCCAATATATTCATATGACAAATGTCCAATATATTCATATGACAAATGTCCTCAACAAAGAGCTGACACGTAGTAAATAATAAAATAATATACTTTTAAGTACATTACATTAAATATCACTAACAAAAATACATGAATGCAGGGTCGATTGCGGATTGTTCGTGTGTTACTTAATACAACAGCTTGCTCGTGGATAACAAATAGAAGAGAAATTAAAACCACCTCAACTTAACGCTCTACGGATAGATATGGTGTCTACATTCGTAAACCATAGGAATGCATGGATTATTAAAGACTACAACACAAGATCAAGATTAAGAAACAGATACCCAAAAAAATAGGACTAACTAATGTTTTTCATAGCTATTTTTTTTAGGCTAATTGTAAGGTTGGTTACAAATTGGTTGTAATTGTTGGATGGTTGATAAATGGATGGATTGAAATTTGGTTGTAATTGTTGGCCGGTTGATATTTGATTGTAATGAAATATTTATGGAACAAAGGAAACTCTGTCCAAATTGTAATTGAAATAGTAACTCAAATACTA